TGAGGGAGGCAGAGATGTCTCACACTGCCTTCAGGCTCTAAATGGCTTTCTGTGTCTTTATTTTCCTGCAACACTTCAAGGATCAGTTTTCTTCATGCCTCAGAGAAGTGGTATCTAAATCGTTTTAAACTGAAACAGGGACAGAATAAGCTGTGCAAATCATTTTCTAGTAGAACCTTAATTACATCCTGCAGTGTCTCGTCCTCAGCAAACCACCAGCAATAAAATTCTGCATTTCATTTTAAAACCGACTAGGCTGGGTTTTTCTGTTTTGTTTTCCCCAATTGACATATCCATAATCTAGCCTGGGACTTTGTTCCACAGAATTTTTGTCAAAGGCTCTAGAGAGTGTGCCTGCAACTACTAAATCTTTCTCAGGTTCGCATTCAATTTGCAAGTTATACAACTGTAGCTAAAGAAAGAGACGTTCTGTTTGCAGGAAGGTGTTTGCCAGATCCCCACTGGCAAAGGCAAAAAGTGATTTATGATCAGTTTCAGTTAACATGGCCTCTCAAACAGATTTTTAAAAGTCTTTACAGCTGTGGCATAATGCCAAGGCTTTTTCTATAGGAATGTGCTCAATTTCAGCTTGTGGTGGTGTCCTGTGACTCAAATGCAAAGGCAAATGKGTGCAAATATCGAATACATCCTCTTGATGCGACAAAAGGCTTTTTACTTTCCAAACATTTCCCCTCATGCTCCACCACTACAAATTTGCTTTTTCCTGTTTTTGGTTTGTGCAGGGGTATTGGTGACTTTTAGTCCCCCAGTTCACAATATGCTCACTATTACTGTTCCACACTTCAGTAGTTTAAAAACTTCAGTGACTTAATGTCTATGGAGTCACAAACATCTAGGAATTCTCCAGTGGTGGTGATCTTCAGGAAAAAAAGTAGCTGCAGCAGTGACACTGATAGTGACAAGTACTGTGTCTTTAGGAGAAACCAGAACTTTATTAATTCTTCTGTGCAAGACTCCCAGTTTTCCTAACACCTCCAAGAAAGATGGATTTGTCTGTGCCATTTTAAGGGGCACCAATAAAATACCTTGGATATATTCCTGACCCCATGTTCATACGTGTACTTACACATTCAGTTCACACTAAATAATTGTCCTTCCTCTTTGGGGCTGCTACACTCTGCTGCCAATATGAAAAATTCTTTACAACACTATCATCACTGTCATGAGCACAGGAATCCTCTGGCACATACAAATCCCTTAAGGGATGAAACCACTGCAGTTCTTGCATCTTCTCCCAGATGTAGTTGGTTTGTGTTGCTCTCACAGCAGGCAAAACTACTTAAACTATGACCTTGGCCTTTCCCACTGTTTCTTGGAAGCTCCATTGTTTCCATTGCCTTCACAAATCCTCGGGCTGGGTTACTGACTTCCTTCACTGGCACACACTGATGGGGTTCCATCAAAACTGAACCCTGGTGTTTCCTACATTGTTTTGCCCAGTCCAACCCCAGGGTTCTGCAGACCCTGTAGAGTCTTAGTCTGAGCCTCCGTTCATGACCACAACCCTTACTGGGTCTCCTATTCTGGCACTACACTTCCCACTGCAGTGTTCCAGTTGCTGTAAGGCTTTTATAATTCCCTTCCTTTGCATAAAATAATTGAATATTCAATACCAAACATCCCTAAGCCATGTACTGCAGCTGTGGCCAGCTTTCCTGAATCCTGACAGCCACAGCCCAACACCTCCATAGGGCTGCATGGTATGGGACACAGCTCAGAGCCAAGGGGAAAAGAAGCTCCACAAGTATCTCACCAATAGGAAACAATCTTGACTCTCCAGAAGCTGTGTGGCTTCTCATGAGAAAGGCTGGACCCATCCCCAGAAGCCCTGGTAATGTCAATCACGGGTTTTGAAGCTCAGCAGCCTGTACAGCTTCCTTCTGCCCTCTGCTTCATATAAAATATTCCCCATTATTTGAGGAGTTCAGGAAACCTAGGATTTCCATTTGGTACAAAAGGAGGAATTAAAGGAGAAGAGCCACCACTGCCATCCCTGATCAAACAGAGGGCAGAAATTAGAAATGCCAGGCCATGGTTCTGACAGAAACTCAAGTTGTAGGAAGTATGTTTTCTTCAACTCAGTCTTATAACCAGCTTGGAGAACCAAACCCTTTCCCAAGCACCCTTCTTCTAACCTATGTTGAATATGTAAAGCAAGGACACCAGATTTACAGCCAAGTGATTTTCCACTCCGGGCACATGGAACATGATGAAAGTAAATTTGTGGGTGTTTATGCTTGATTTGGCAGAGAAAAAAAAAATGAGGGAGGGGCTGTGTTTGAGGGAGGGTATCAAAGATCAGAGCCAGATGCTCCTGCACAGAGTCCTGGATTTACAGGAAATTAAGAAGGTAGAGAAGGTGAGGCAAAGGCTGTGTTTGAAGTGAGAGTCAAGGGGTTCTGAGGCTTACAACCATCCAAGGTGCTTGGGGGGAACTACAGCACATGCCAAAACCACACCACAGTGGCCTGGGGTGCTTTCATTATACAAAGCCTGGGAGAGCAGAGGCTGTAAATGTAGCTTCAAAAGGAGCTTCATCTTAAAGTCTTAGCTCTCAGGGCCTATTAAACATTTATGCTGACTACCACTCCTACTATTTGCTTCAGAGAAAGTACCCGAAATAACCTTTGCTACAGAGTGAACTACTACAGCTCTACTGGCTGTGTAGGAGACTAGCAGAGAGCTGTGAGAAACAAACAGAAATGGTGTTGGAGGAGTGTGCTGATGTTTCTATTCAGTYAGCCAGGAAAGAAGCAGGAAAATCTGGTCTGGAACATGAGAGGGAAGACAGAAAACTTTGCTAGAAATAATGGGTGAATTAGTGATGTAGAGGTGGCTAAGACTGAGGCCAGTGGAGGCAAATATAGATATATAAGAGTTTTGACAAAATTTTTGCTTTTACCTTACTAAGGTTGACACTTTTGAGGGAGTCTTCAGACCAGCCTCCAGTTGGATCTAGGACTACTGCAGCTCTGAGAGAGACTGTAGGTAAAAAGAAAGAAAGCAGACCCTATATAGAAATCAAAAGGAAGGCACAGGATCTCTAGGAGAAGATGAAAAGAAGGGATTAATTTTCCTGATTTGCTTAAAAAATTTTTGGCTGTGCAACAGGAGTTTAGGATAAGACAGCCAGAAGTACTGAAGGTTTTCACTCTAGGAAGCTGTTACTATTAATAGCAGATAATAYACAAAGATTAATTTATTCCCTCATAGGGACAACCCCAGTAGAGGGCTGTGCTGGCACTGGCACCTTCCAAGCAGGTGTGAATAAAGTCCCTCAAAGTCACTTATYTCAATGGATGCATACATGATCCTGTAGATTTTGCTTGTAGGAGCTGCTGCCCTCCTGTCACATAGCCAGTGGCTGATCCCAGTATTCCTTGTGGCCTTGCGTAGAGTGAGACTCAGTGCCTGAATTTTATCAGTCTTGCAAATTCAATAGAACTACTGGTGTCTGGAATTTGGCAGTCCTTGGGAAACCTTCATGCTCCTTGTCAGCACACACTTTTCCTCTTTGCTCTGCTTTCTGGTAATCATTTCTCCACCCAAAACTACAAATACCTACAGGACCAACTCAGTTTCACACAAGAGGCCTTTATGACAAGTGGAGTTGGAGGCTTTTGTGGCTAATCAGAGTTCACTCTGTAGCAACTTACTGTAAATGTGGCTCCTTCYTATTATTGAGCAGCCACATCACCTCTTCTTGAAATCCAAAGCCATCCAACAAGAAAAAACAAATGTTCAGTGTTGACATTTGAATACAAAGATTTTATGAAGATGGGACAGACCTTCCCACATTCAGCCTTRGGAACAAACATCGATTGACTGGTGTGGATTCACCTTTGGATAGTACCTACTCATCCCCATCCCTCCGACTTACATTCACTTGGCTGCTYATCAGCACAGGTATTGCATCCGGCACCAAATTAATAAATCTGTCTCCTGAAGGATGGCCAAGTATGACTAAGCTGACCCAAGTACCAAACACTAAGTGGATGGCAACTTTGACGACTATATTCTTACAAACCATTTTGCAAAGAGAAGGTCCTACACATTATGTTGAATGGCGTTCAACCAGCAGTTCTCAGTTCTGCTGTTTCTCTTCTTTCACAGAGCCATAGAATAGTTTGAGTTGGAAGGAATCTTTAAAGATCATCTAATCCTTGAAGGACATTGACCTGTTGGAACAAGCCCAAAGGAGGGCCACCAAGATGATTAGRGGGATGGGTGAGCTCTCCTATGAGGAAAGGCTGAGAGAATTTCCTACGAGGAAAGGCTGAGAGAATTTGGTTTGTCCAGCCTGGAAAAAAACACAGCTTAGGAGTGACCTCATTGCAGCCTTCAGTACTTGAGGAGAGATAGAGAGGGACTTTTTACAAGAGYATGTAGTGACAGGATGAGGARGRATGGATTAAAACAAAAAGAGTGTATGTTTGGATTAGATATTAGGGAAAAAATTCTTTACTGTGAGGGTGGTGAGGCACTGGAACAGGTTGCCCAAAGAAGTTGTGTCTCCTCCATCCCTGAAATGTTCAAGGCCAGGTTGGATGGAGATCTGATCAACCAACTGTCTGTTGGAAAGTATCCCTGCTCATGATAGGAGGTTGGAATTAAATTATTTTTAAAGTCCCTTCCAACCCAAACCATTTGATGATTCTGTGATACCTTGCAATCCACAGCTTTGAAGCGGCGAAGAAATTCATACAAATCAGTCTGAACCTTTATACTGTAATGGTGTGATTTGTGACTTTACTCTAGATGTTCAAAATCGAATTAGGCTTTGGCAACAGCCAAGTGGTCGGGCCGGGAGAAGGAGCCTCTTAGAGGATGGACCAGCTGGGTGRTGAATCCAGGTGTCCTGGGAAATTCTCCTCAAAAAAGCCCAAACGGAGTGAGGGCCAGCAAAGAGGCGCGCAGGATCTCTGTGAGGCGGGCGGGATTCCTGAGGGCGGAGCCGGGAGGATTTTGGGGGCGCTATCACAGGGGCACACTCAGCTCTTCTCTGGGTAGCAGCTCTTGTGCAGCACAGCCCGATCTGTCGCAGCCCGCCGCCACGGTGTCACCGCACGGCGAGCTCTTGTGCAGCACAGCCCGGTGTGTCGCAGCCCGCCGCCACGGTGTCACCACACGGCCATGGCCGCCCGCCCCTCAGCGCTCGGGCGGGAACTACAGCTCCCATAGCCGCGCGGGGCGGGCGCCGCCATCTTGTGCCGGGCGGTGCGGCGGCCATGGCCGCGGGGCGGGCGGCGCTGGCGCTGTGGGCCATGGCGGCCGCCCTGTGCCGGCTGGAGCCCGCCCTGGCGGCAGGTGAGCGGCGGGACGGCGGGCCGGGAGTGCGGAACAGGGCCGGGAGGCCGGGCGGGCCGCGACCCCAGCGTCCCGTGGCGGCCCCCGGGCTGAAAGGCACGCCGGACCCGCTGCCCGTTCCCCGCCTCCCCATCCCGCCGCTTATTCTGCTGGCGGATGGATCGAATCCTTAGGCTTTTCCTTCCTGTGTGTTTTAGATGCCAAGTGGAAAACCATAACTGGCCAAATTAAGAAAGCTGTGGAAGCCTATGAGCCGTGTGTAAAAGAAAATTGCAGCTGCCACCAAAGGTGAGACTGGTTTCCTTTCGACTGCGCAGGTCTCCGGATGCAGGAGGGAATTCTTTCGGCTGCGCTGGTGGGTTAGGGATTAGCTAGGGAACATTTGCGTCCAAAGGTGTCACATCTGCAGTTGTGGCACCACCGCTGGTCACACTCCTTKTTACCCTCTGCAGCTGAACGTGCAATGTGTTGGCATTTCGTGTATGACCACACAATAAACCATACACATAGCTGGTGACACTTATCWTAGCAACCCACTTCTGCCTTCTCACTCAGTAGGACTTCGGGGGTTTGATGCCTCTAAGCAGGATTTTTATTTAAAGGAGGAAAAGGAATTTAAGAATGATTTACCATATTCTTCGTCCTTTAGGATTAGGATTTCAGATGCAGGAACCCAGATRCCCAACTTTAAGCCTCCTACTTAAAAGTATCAGATATGCTCACTCATTTTGGGGTTTGAGTACCATATTGGCTTTTAAAATCAGATGAGTCATATCGAGCAACTATTTGTACACTCTGTTTGGMGTTTTTGATCTTCATTGCTCTTGAAATATTGATGAGGGAAAGTCTCTTCTGGCTGAGCTTTCCAGTCTTTTTCCTAAATGCAAATCCAGATACAGCCTAAAGACATATCCTATTCTTTAAACATACACCCCACCAGCTCCTACCCAGCTTTGGGCAAAAGACCTTCCCAAGCAGTTAAAACCTCCAAATCTGCTGCAGAACATGATAGTCAATAGTAACAAGAAGTTGGGATGGCTCTGGATGTGCCATGGTACTGCAACTCCCTTCATGTTCTCAAGCTCATCCCATTTGCATCCCTGCCAGACTGCTCATGCTGTTATGGTCAGACCATCTGCACAGTGGCAATTCCTGACATAGTTTTACTGCTCTCTACCCAACTGGGAAATACCAGAATTCTSGAGATGGAGGGGACCTCTTGAGATCAAGTCTTACCCCTCTGCTCAAGTAGGGTTGCCAGGACTGTGTCCAGTCAGGTTTTAAATACCTCAACATTAACGTTCCAAAGAAACTCTACATCCTCTCTGGGCAGCCTATACCAGAGTTTGGCCACCCACACAATGGGATCATTCCGACACTGTTTTCTTGAACTGAAACATTGATGCAATGTCTGCCTAAAAGCAAAGGATGTTTCCTTGTCTGTTACAATCTGACAATGTTCATTAGCTGYTCCAAGCAGTTAGATCTGAGGACATTTAGACTAAATTTATATAAGTTGCATCCTCCTTCTGTGTGTTCTTATATTCATTAGGTTTGTGTTTCCATACTGTGTTCCTGGAGCTCACTGGTGATGTGCAGAAGTCATAGACCACGTGCTGCCTAAGTCTGTCCTCCTGGGCCAGCTTTCACTGCACCCAGTGTTGCTGGGTRAAAGTGTTTCTTGCAACTAGATTGTTACCTTCTTTTTTGATGTCTACATAGCATGACATTGTGTGAGGATGGTGTGCCCCGTCATTTTTGGAGGGCCAGAGCTCCTAGGGTGAAGTAAGCAGAAGGCTTTTACCCAAAACATGCCAGGGTATGTCAGGTACTTTTGTGGGAGAGTAACTAGAGTTGGCCTGTGCTGGGCTTTGTGTTCAGGCAAACAGCAAGTAGGTAAAAGTGTGAMGCTTGGACCTATGAGTCTCTGAGGAACTTCCAAGTGACTTAAATTCTCACACCAGTGCTCCTAGAAGCTACATGGAGCTTGTTTTAGCTAGAAGCCTGTTCTGCATAYTGCAATAATTTAATGCACAGTGTCCTCCCTGTGATACATAATAATGGCTGATGGTTTTGTTTCAGTGTCTGGAAGCAGGACCTGTCTCCTTTTCGAGGTGGCATTTCTAAGGACACRATGTCAGATGTTGTGAGCCGAAAGCTCGGGACACACTACCAAATAATTAAAAACAAATTGTACCGTGAGCAGGACTGCATGTTCCCTGCAAGGTAAGACCTGTGCAGAGGATCTCCTCTCCCTAGAGGGGTACTTCCAATACTGMCAAGTTGAAAGTCATTGAACCTAGTGGTATTTCAGAGGTCGGAATTCCTCATCAAAGCAGGGCCCAGAAAAATAAACTATTAGGCTTAAATGTATCAGTAAGAAAGGCACTGWTGCATTTCAGTGTACAAAGGGTTGGTTGGATGGGAGATCCCAGTGAAAGGGGCAGATCAGGCTAGATTTAGCAGGATGTGTTGCCTCATTGATGTCCATACTGCAGTGGGACTTGGAGGCTGCTCTAGGCAGTTTGAGTTTACATCGTGCTGTGGCTTAGGCTCACCATCTCTTCTGCCTCTGTACAGAGAAAGGCCTGCAAGGCTGCAGGAGTCTACCTCCTTCTTAGAGCTCTTTTGCCATGTCATTTCTCCACAGATGCAGTGGAATTGAGCACTTCATTCTGGGGATCATCCACCGCCTTCCTGACATGGAAATGGTGATCAATGTGCGAGACTACCCCCAGGTTCCCAAGTGGATAAAACCCATCATCCCCGTCTTCTCCTTCAGTAAGGTACACACACATTTAAAAGCTGAGCATTTCCAAGACATGCATGCCCTTCTTTCCCTTGGGAATRTATTTTTGAGGATGGTTCTCTGCAGGTTTTCTATGCAGCACAATTGCTTGTTSTTTTCTGCCCTTTGTTTCCTTTTGCTTCCAGTTTTCTGGCAGACAGACTTGCAGATCGATTTCATAGATCAGCTTTTCCCCTCATTAGCTCCTCTTCCAGGTCAGAAAATGTACCTCTGCTGCACTGGAATGATGCACAGCTGGATGGGATACGTGCCAGCATTGCTGTCATTTGCCACAATACTTCTGTTAAAATTGTAGCCGTAGTTTATCAGCAGTATTAAAGATTTTAGATCATGTCAGTTGTCATATAGTTGATCTCATTTAATGCAAATATTTTCGTCTGTTTTTTGTGGTACCTGAGATAGGTGTTTCTTACTTTCTYTTGTATAATATTGTCATCTTCTGTGAACTCTTTTCCCTTCAATTCCCTTTTCCATCTGGAAATGTGCACACACAAACAGAGGTGCACAGACGCATGGAGGCAATGACTCTTTGCTTCTCTGTTCCCAGACTCAAGAGCCCTCCTGCATTTTCCTAYCTCTCCCACTATTAAATCTGACTGTAGCACAGCATCTCATCCTTTCCAATAAAATGTTGTTACACCTCAAGCTTTGGCTAATCTTGCTTTGCCCAAATCCTGCACTTCCTCAGCCTAACCCCTGATCCTTGGCTGAAGTCCAGCAGACAGTAGGATACAAAGAGAAGCAATAACCTATTTGGTCTTGCTAGTTCAAACCCAGCTCTGTTTCTGCTAACTTGCAGCATCTTACTCTGAACCCAGGTCTTAAGCTCATGCAGTCTGAACCATAAAGTGACCCATAACTCCCCACTGAATCTAAAATTCTCTCTGGTTTTTCAATATAGTGTTGCAAGCACTGTCAGCCAACAMCCATGCTCGCTGCTGGATGCAGTAGTAAAGCCAAGCTGTCTTGCCCCTGAACCATTGCACAGCCTTAACTCTAGCCAGCAGAACCCAAATTGATGCAGAGTAGGTTGAAGGAATTTAATCTTTGCAGCTGTATTTATCATTCTGTTCCTGGGTCCCTTGCAGGGCACCGCAAGAAACTGAGCTCTGCACTCACTGTTGTCCAGTATCTGAACTGTAACCTCAACCCTATCCTTACCTGAAACCCAGTGACCTCGGCACAGCTCACTTTTCACCAGCCACTGTTAGGAAGACTTCAAGATGCTGGTCCAGTGTGCTTTCTAAGGCTGAAAGGATGAGAGATTGAAGGATTGTCCTATTCTGCATCTCAAAAAGTTGACTATGAAGCTGTTGTGGTTTGTTACCTCCCTGTAGGAGGACTGAGAGGGAACAGATAGAGATGCACACATTCGTTCAAGCTGGAAGGGACCTCAGAAGGTCACCCATTCCAGCACCTTGCTCAGAGTAGGAGCTGTGGGCTGCATCCTGCCCAGGTTTGAGTATCCCTGAGGACAGGGTATCCACAGAGAGAGCTTGATGTCTGTCAGAATGAAAACRTATTTCCCATTATCTAATTGAAATTTCTCTTCTTGTAATCAAAGTGTGTTGCTCATTCTGGCTCCGCGCTTCAGAAAAGAGTGTGAACYCTCAGTAGGAGAGTAGGCAGTAGGAGATGGCGTTTGCATTCTCCCAAGCCTCTTCTTTCTGTGCATGGACAAATCCATTCCTCAGCCCCATTCACATGCTATGTGCACTAACCTCCTAACTARCTTGTTTGCCTTGGACTCTCCAGTATCTCCAGGTGGATAGATGGATAATTGTGTAGGAAGTTTATTACTAATGYATGGAAGTTGCCTTTAGTCTGGTTTCATGGAAGGGCACTCAGTGAAGTGCTGGTCTTTCCTCCAATAATACGTGGGGACTTAAGCAACCAAATATGAGTGAGGAACTGGAATTCTTACATGACCTGGATATTTGTTACAGTGAATTGTYAAATGATCTCTAGGAAGGGTGGAATGAGCTGAAGTGTTGAAACCTAAATGTCAAAGTGTCTCTAAGTGCTTCTTTCTCTGAGAAGATAATAATGCCTTTTGACTTATCACCAGAAGAAAACATTTGTAGCTACACATAGGCACAAGCCTTTAGAAAGGTGAGCTGAGCTCAGGTCTTTTGCTGTTTACGAATCAGCTGCATCATGGATCTCTTTTGCTATTTTCTACTTGAAAGTCCCAYGTCACCACACAGCAAGACAAAGCCTTTTTAAAATCATTGACCCATTTCAATATTGAGCTGTCTTCATATGAACCCTKCYCAGGGAGGTTRTGGAGTCTCCCTTTCTAGAGACATTTTAAACCCACCAGGGTATGTTTCTGTGTAACTTGTTCTAGGTGATCTTGCCTTGACAGGGRGGTTGGACTGRATGATCTYTGGAGGTCCCTTCCAATCYTAATGGTTCTGTGATTCTGTAACCCCAGCAAATAGTGACTGCAAAKCTCTTGTGGCCTCTTAARGAGGTGTGTTGGAGAAAGCCACCAGAGCTCCCAGARGGAACATTTGTTACTGGTGGGCTTAGTCAGTAAACCAATGTAGATATTACTCTCATTCTTGCATTACTCTCCTTTTTTTCAAGACATCTGAATACAATGATATCATGTATCCTGCCTGGACATTTTGGGAAGGAGGACCAGCTGTTTGGCCAATTTATCCAACAGGTTTAGGGCGCTGGGACCTCATGAGAGAGGACCTCAGAAGGTATGTTTTGGAAATGGTTATGTGTGGGGGGAGGTTTCACAGAAGACAGCAGGCCATCCTTCACTGAGCATCACTGGGCCGGTGTTGATGTCTAAGACCATAGGTCCATTGGCCTGTGATCTGTCCTGCTGCCTATATTAACTACCTACAGCCTAAGTGCTCTATGGGAATTCTCCATAGAAACCTTGGATGATGTAACTGGAAGTTATAATTAGCTCCTCTGTTTGCAACCCTTTAGTAAGAAATGCAGAGGACAAACTATGCGCATCCTTCATACTGTGTGGGCCAGATTGCTATCGAGTTTGGGGAGAGCAGGTTTGTCAATWAAGTAGCAGTTATCTTTTGCCTGCAGAAATCTCCCCTGACATACAGGAATATTTTTCTTTCTTTTCAACCACTTCTCTAGAAGCTATGTTTTTTCACTGCAGGGATGATCCAGGATGTTTGTATAAGATTCTGGAAGGCTAAAGGAAAGCCTTCTTTAGATCTGCTTTCACTTGAGTGTCATTGTGCAATAGAAAAACCTGGAATCATTCCTAAGAACCAAGAGTCACTACTGGGCTAAGGCACAAGATGTTTCTGGTTGGGAGTCTTCCTTTGGCAGTATCTTTTCATTTACTAGCAGAGTAAGGGGCTGCTTCCCATGAGGAGTGACAAACCAGCTGTGCAACAGTGAGTGAACATAGAAACAAAATATCAAAAAACACTTCTATGTAAATAACTTGACTTCAGAATGCAAGGTTGAATCCTTCCCTCTTCAGAATCTGAAAATCTGTGTCACTATTCATAGCTAAAGCTTAATGTGCTCCAATGTTATGGAGGTCCAAAGCATTTACTCATCCTTGTGTTTTCACTTGTGTCACTGGGTTACAAGAAGATGCAAAGCTCGTCCTGCACAGGTAGATCACTTTGGGAGTGAGGATCTGTATGTTCCACTAGGTGCAGTAGAAAAGTATGTCACAGTTTCCCTGAGAGGAGGTGAGGTAGGTGACTGCAYTGGCAGAAAAAAACTCTAGGTGAACAGCTATTTTGAAGGACTTGATTGGGTTTAAAATGAAAGTGATTAGGGAAAACAGTAAGCTCCTGTGTTTTAAGTGCAAAACATTAGGTGGGTTTTTTGTTTGTTGATTGGTAGTTTTGTTTTGTAGTGGGAAATGACTGATTAGACACTTTTCAGTCATTTTACACTATCCATATTCAATGAAGTACAGCAAAATAAAACCACAGAACAAAAAGTGGATTCAAATCTTAGGTAAACTTTGAATACCCTTCAAGATTTGGTGGGGGGTTGTGTGTAATACATTGTTTTGACTGAAAGGTGATCTGGAAAGTAGCCTATATCATGTTGCCTTAAACATAGTATTCACAGGAAAACCTRTTTCATTGGACCTGGCTGAGAGGTTTTTTCTTCTATTATGAAGAAAGTGATTTCCATCAAAAATGAAGACTAGAAAAAGATATCATGCTGTGAAAGCTGATGAGAGTGCTGTTTCATGGTTATATTAAATCATTTATTGCCRTGTATAAAAAATATTTTCAGATCTGCAGAAAAATGGCCATGGAAGAAAAAAATCTCTAAAGGATATTTCCGAGGATCCAGGTGAGCATATTTTCCTGCGACTGAAGATTCTACCAACATAGGCCGTGACAGTTCTCTGTATGTAGAAATGTTCATGTCTCCAAGATCTAATCACTAATTAAATGTAACCCAGTGTGTTTTCCAAAAGTAAGGAAAGTGGGACATGTTGTACAGTGTTGCACCATTAGTTATTCTCCATAATGATTGCCGTTTGCTACTAGTTTATTATAATCACCTAATATTGGAAACAGAAGTTGTGATGGATTTGCTACTWTATTTCTTAATGACTAAAACTGTCACCTCAGGAACCCTCTTGTTTTGTTCTGTGAAGGGGAACTGCAGGTGCTTGATACAAATTTAAAGATTTAATATTGCTGTTCATGCTTCCTGCCAATGTGAATGCTTTATTTGCTGTGCAAGTGCTACACACTGAATGAAAAGTATTCTGGCCTTAAGTTACCTGAGTGGTGGGGGATAAGAGAAGATTAGTTTTGGCCTCTCTCCAGTGACAGTTTGAAACAATGCTAAACCCCATATTTTGTTTCTTCCCCATCCCCAACAGGGAAGGATTTGATGGCTTACAGGTAGGCTCAGGAGGTGATGAGGAATGTGTCTCAGGGATGTCATAACCTTATTTATTGGTAATATTTTAAAGTCCTTGTCAGAGGGATCACTGCTGAAGATGCTGAGCATCTCTTAACTCACTGTATCTAAGGATGGAGTTAAAGCATTTGGCACCCATCAGGATAAAGCCCAAAGGAAGCAGGATTTGTCCTGGGAATTGTTTAAATAATGCTGTTAAACATATAGTAARTCAAATAATTTTGGTACCCATGACTCATTCTCTTCTGTTAATATATCCTTGGACATAAATACACTGTGGTACACACTTCAGAATGTTTTGGGGACACGTAGGGAGGTCAGCCTCAGAAAGAAGGAGTGCTTTGAGTCCTGTAGTTTGTTAGCTGTGTTGAGTCATGTGGATTGGCAATTAGAGATAGCATTTCTTTTTCAGAACAAGCCCTGAGAGAGATCCCCTCATCCTGCTGTCCCGAGAAAACCCAGAACTTGTTGACGCTGAGTACACTAAAAACCAGGCTTGGAAGTCTGAAAAGGTGTGTGGGTGTTTGTCTGTCTTGAGTGTGAAGGCCAGAGCGGGTGGCATTGCAAGATGGCTTTGATGAGTGAGAAACATCTTTCTGGAGAGTTGTGGGTGATCCTTTAGCGTGGGGGAGGTTTGTAGTTCCCTTGATGGCCGCACCTCTCTGACAGATCAAAGGAAGGAGTCTCTAGAGCCTGGCAGGCCTAACACTTTTCTTCCTTCTACATTTCTTTTCAAGGAAAGCAGAACACATAAGAAAATGAATCACTGCCAATCTCCTCGTCTCCCACAACAAAATTGGCCAACCCTTCCCCTTCTGTCTCTGAGCTGCCTCTGTGGTGTTGTCAGTCTTTAAACCTTTCTCTGTTTTCTCCATTTCTCGATCCTGTTGTGGATAACTTTCTGATAACTGTTGCTGATAACTTTTTAGTTTCATACTTAGTCTACAGTCCAGCTCTCTCCAGACAGTCTTGGCTAATCCGGTTACACTTGGCTTAACACAATCCATTGTCCCAAGCTGTTTTCCACTCTGTAGCTGCCAACAAAACATTATCATTTAATGTGTTTGTGCTGGCATTCACTTACAGGCAGTGTGTAATTTACTGAGCTTTTTTCCTTGTTTGAAGGGCYGGGAGTTCTTTATAATTCTACCAACAGCCCACCAGAGAAGGTTTTCTCAGAAGTGGGAATGGAAGATTCTAACACATCACCTTTGTTTCTAACTGAGAAGGAAAATAAATTAAATCACCATTTGAAGCTTAGTGATTTTTTTTAAAATTCTGTTTATTTTAAGGACACCTTAGGAAAGCCTCCTGCAAAGGAAATYCCACTGGTTGATCACTGCAAATACAAGTAAGAGTTTTGATTAGTAAAGCTGTTCAATGCCTGTGGGTTATTCTTTCCTTGCATGTGTAGGGTCTCATTTTATTTTAAGGTCTAACTCAACAACCTTCTCCATGTAGAYAGGAAGGTTTGTGAGCAGATGTAAGGCAGTTAAAAATTTGGGAGCTTAGCATGACAAGTGCTGCCACTGGGTGTATGTAGTAAAGGAGAGAGCCTGAAATCTGATAGCAGACATAGTATTAATTCATACTTTTTATGTTGTTTGGGAGAATGTGGTTTTGATTTACAAAGGTTTTTATTCTTTAATTTCTTTAGTGAGGGTTTTTTGGTGTAATACTCTCACAGGTTTCTATGTACAATATAAACTCTTAGTGTGTATGCACTTGTGTGTCAGATATTTTGCTTTTCCTYGTGCTAGCTGTGATTCTGCCAGCCAGGATCTGCTGATACAAGAGCTCAGTCATTTGGCTGAATCTGTGTTTTTGTGCAAATGTGATTGACTTGTCTCATTTTGTATTTCACTAGACTATTGCCCAGATTTCTCCCTTCTGTTACACATACACTGCCCAGCTCTGATGCTCCTCAGCCCATCATATGGTGTAGGCTGAGATCTCACACACTTTTGTGGCCCAGGGTGGTAGGGTCAACATGAACTTATGGCTGTTCCCTTCAGTGTAGGTGCTATAGCAGGCTGGCTTGGCTGATGTCATGGATGGTGGGAGCTGTGTCTGGAACTGGACAGAGACATTTCCTTGCTTCCAGGCCACTGTTCTTGCTACATCTCTACATATATTTGTTGAGTTCCTAATACAACAAGCTCCTTGTCCCTGTCTTGAGCTCCTAGGTAAAACAAATGATGCAAAATAATTTCAGATTTACTTCATGTAATTTACTGCTGAACTAAGTTTAGCTGTAATTCCCATATTACCCAAAATATATATAATATATAAACTCCATCTCACCCAAAATAGCTTCATTAAAGGAAGAACTCACTTCCCCCAGCCCAGAATGTTTGGCTTCAAAGATTAGTTATAGGTACTGGGGAGGTTTCCCTGTAGCAAAACTGGCTTTCCAGATAATCGGAGAAATGTGGGTTTGAAAAAGAAAACAAGTAAGCAAACAAACATCCCTCTGAGATACAGTTTGCTAAGAGAAATACCCCCTTGCTGCAGTCAAACCCACTTTACTAACTTGGCAGAAAACACTGAAAACAAAATTGTGGATTCTTTGTTATCTGCGAAGTCCGTCTGTTGTGTGCTGGCCCATGTAACCTCCTARGGTTGCATTCCCAAGTTAATACGAAACAATTACATTCAGATTAAAGTAGAATCCCAGAGGAGAAAATAACCTGAGATAGACGTGGCAAAGCACAACAATGAAAAGAAAAGCTTCACTGCAACACAAGAGAGAATTGGGAAAAATTTCTTTGTTGTTGATACAGTATCTGGCTGACCCYGTAGGGTCATTGGATCCATGTTGAGACCTTCCATGCCTTGTTGGCAATTGTCCATGAGGCCTCCTTCRGTTTGTTGCAGGCAGGTGCGTTTATCAGAGGTAAAGCCTCTCTTATTGGTTTTCTCACTGAATTTTGACAGACAGCAGAAACTCACCTAGCACATCCTTTACTCCAATTCACCTTTCCYGTGAGAAGCTTAAAATAAATGCATGTCCTCTGTTTAAGTGACAGTTTTAGTGACTGCTTAGTGTGAGGGAGGCCCCCAGCTGCCTGTGAGGGAAGGTTCACTGCTCTTGGAGACCAGCACACCTTAGTGCATTTCCTCACACAAAATGTGTAATCARGTCCCTCTCCTTTCTCACCCTTTTTAAGGTACCTGTTTAATTTCCGGGGAGTGGCAGCCAGTTTCCGCTTGAAACACCTTTTCTTGTGCGGCTCACTCGTCTTTCATGTTGGAGAAGAGTGGCTGGAGTTCTTCTACCCCCAGCTGAAGCCTTGGGTCCACTACATCCCMGTCCGGTCAGACCTCTCTGATGTCAGGTGGGAGGCCTGAGGCTGTTCCATGGAGCATTCCATAGGAACGTGTTTGGGAGGGTGGGATGGTTTGTGTTAGGCCATGAAGAGTCTCCACTCCAAGGCATCAGGCAAAGACTTCAGGAGATCACAGTCTTTTCTCTTMATCTCTGCCCCCAAAGAATCCTTTGCTCATGTTTCTCAGCGAGTACAGTTTCACTGGAATGTGTAGGCCTGTCTCTCTCACTGAAATCAGCAGGCACTAGACACTGACTGAGATTTGCACGTGGGCCCTGCAGCACAGATAAGGGGGAAGAGGAGCATATCAGTGGGCCAAAACTATGTTAGCTCCCAGATTTCAGCATGTTGTCCAGAACTGATGTGAAACAATCAAGACAAGAAGTTTCCTCTGYACTCTGAGGTGAGCGGCACCTTCACTCAGTTGTAGACTCTTAACCTCACCCTCCCCAACAATTTRGCTAAGGGATCATGTTCTCCACTGAGCCAGTTGTTTCATAGCTTTATTTTTTTCTTCTTCATTKTAGGGAGCTCTTGCAGTTTGTAAAGGAAAATGATGCCATAGCACAAGAAATTTCAGAGAGGTAAGTTGTGTGTCCTCCCTGGCTATTAGGCAGTCTTCTTCCAAAGTGTTTTCTTACACTGCTTTTGAAGGGGTTGCCCATCAAAGACAACCTAGCATTAGTAGGGTGCAGTACAACTGCTCTTCTGCACTAACAGCAGGAGGGCTAGAGCACTCATAACAAGCAGGGAAAAGCAGAGAACAGGATTCTGTGCTTAGCTCTTTGGTTCACATGTGACCCATGTCAGGAACCCCACGGAAAGCTGGCAGAGGTTGGGAGCTTTCGTCTCAGTATGAGGCAAGCTGACTTCTGGGAGCTGTGTCTGTACTGTAAACATTATCTATCCAGGCTGGCTTCTGAGGCAGCATCAGTGCTGCTCTAGCTGTGTGTGATAAGTGAAATCTGATATTTATTATCCCAGATAGCAAATACCATCTTGAGGATAGCAAAAGCACTGCAACCATCAGAGCTGTGAGCATGAACGAAAACTGTAAAATTAAAATAGATGGTACAGAACAGTGCATGTTGTTTCTCATTTGAAACAAGGAAGAGTGAAAGTTGCTACACATCCAAAACAAAACTAATGACTCTTGTAGGAACTGGAAAACAGTCCTCATTGYGCCTTGTGTGTCTTTAGGGGACGTCAGTTCATCAATGAGCACTTGGATATGGAGGATGTCTCATGCTACTGGGAGCATCTGCTGTCTGAATATTCCCAAACCTTAACTTACAAAGTGAAAAAGAAGAAGAGCTACAGYGAGATCACTTCTGAATGGCTGAAAACAGAACTGTAGAGATTTCTTTCTTTTCCTCTTCAGCTCACTGTGGAAATCTGAAGATCAGTATTAACTTATTTCTTGATCTCTCAGACTTACCTTTAACACGAGCAGCAGGCTGACTCTGACATTGCTTCCAGGCAGTAGGACCTGGACCTGGGCATACTGTCACCACAAGAGCATTAARTAGCATGTTGGATAATGGCTATTTAATGGGGTAGTCAGTGATGCCTGGAGGAGGGGTGTTAGTATTTAGGGCTTAGCCACTGTAAGGTAGTGACCTGTCTCAAAATGATCCTGAATCCCATTCAGTTGATGAGAACCCTTGCTGTTAATTTTATTGGACTTTTTTTCCCAAAGTCATGGCAAGCTTCACAGACTGAGCTGCACTCAGCTGGCAGATACCTGCCCCTTTGTTTGCCATATGTTTTCTCAGCTGGGTGGTAGCACGTGGGATATTAGGTGTTCTCTGACAGTAGCAGATACTGGGATTTGGGGGTACCCTTTTTGGATAGCTTAGAGTTTATGTAGGGTTTTAGAGGTTGATGGTAAGGCTTTKACATGCCATTGAAAGGATAACTGATCCTTGCAGAATTACCCACCTACCTCACAGGGGGAGCAGCAGGTGGTGGTGATGTGGCCACTGCCACTGAGGCACTCAGCTTCAGACAGGGATGTGCTTGGCAACTGAGACAGMGGTGGTTCATCCTGCAATAGAAGARCTGGGTACCTACAATTGAGYCCCTGTTAATTGTGTTTCACCAGCTGCCTGGCCAGACATCCTGGGACCCTTAGGAACCCAGAGAAAGAATTGGCARAGGTAGATTCAGAACTTCTTTTTTTCCGGAAGTGCAGAGTCTGCTCTGATCCCCTTTTGTAACCTTTCTAGGATTATTTTGGTTGGGGTTTTTTTTTGTTGTTGGTTTTTTTTTGTTTGTTTTTTTTTTTGGTAGGCTTTTTTTTGAGACTGGTAATACATCTGCTCACTTCGGTACTTTACTTTCTTCCCCACGGTTGTGCCACTTCTTTTCTCATCTCCCTTTTCCCATCTCCTTCAGCCTGGCTGAGGGAATGTCTTCAGTCACACAGTAGCAGCTTCTTGTCACATTACCCATTTTGAGTTRGCCACAGGTTGCTTGTTTTTGCTGTGTTTATGCCCATCACGGGCTCTCAGCCCAGAGGGAGTGCAATTCCTGAAATGTTGTGTGCCCCCTGAGGTGAGAAGCTGGGAGGGAGCAGCATCTTCTCTGGCACCCAGACAGGAGAGTGTTGGGTGGCAGAAGGGACACAGGAGCCTCCCAGGGAAGTACTCTTGATGGTAAAGTGGCCTCAAGGCTGAGAGAGCAGCACATTATAATGGAATAGGATGATAGCAATAGCTCTCAGGCATGTCTGCAGTCAGTGTGGATCAGGGAAGAAGGAAATTGCATGGAACAATAAYATTAAGTGCACGTGTGCCTCACAGAGGCATCATAGCCCTGGTGCAGGGACATGGCAGCTGGCCCTGTTGGTCAGGTGCTGGTGGCTGGGGCAGTGTGTTGATTATGGGACCAGTCCCAGGGTTATCCCACCCTGCAAAGGAAATAGAACAGGGCATTAAAAGAGCCTGGTTTCCCAGGAAAACTCTGCCAGTGGAAAGAGTTTTCTGCTTTTCTATTTTTAGTCAATGGAGAGAGCACTCCAAGAAACTGAACAGCTCTGTATGATATTTTTAAACCATTTGTACTGAAGTGTTTTTTGGAATAAAACAAACAAAAACGAAGTTTTGCTGGATGCATTGTTGCTTCATCAGAAGGGCAATAAAAGGTCTGCAGAGCCCCAGCYGTTCCCACCCGTAGATCTTGTGATGAGACTTGATTGTTGCAGCTTAGGTGGCCTTTGGTGAAAGTGATGGTCCACAGGAATGGGGGAAGAATCCCGGGAAACACCAAATCCGATGGGTTAAAATACGCTCAGGCTCGGTGAGCTGAGCCGAGGGGGGCAGTTTCCAGTCCTTTGGTGAAAGGCCTCATAAATGAGTCTGGGGGCGCTTCGGGGSTCTTTGATGGTTTATGACGCCTTCTAGTACACTACGGCTGCATCTGTGTCAGCAATGCCCCATCAGACCTTCGCGATGGAAGAGGGGGCTCACAAGAGGGCGAGTTGTGTCAGGGAGGGCAGTTAGCACCATGAGAGGCACCATCTCGCCTTACAGGATTTGCCTCGTAGCGTCCTCAGGGGGCTGCACCCCCTCKTGTGCAAACTGGCCACCAGAGGCTCCCTAAACTCGGCTCTTCCTCGGGGGGTGCAAACCTGTCCCTGCACAAATGGGGAAGGGTTTGGAGTCATTAATCAGTAATAGTGCACTCTCTCACACGTGCCGAGCCGGGCCGAGCGGTTCCGGGCGGTTCCGAGCCAAGCCGAGCGGTTCCGGGCGGTTCTGAGCCTAGGGGAGCCCAGCCGAGCGAACGGTTCCGAGCGGCTCCGCTCCGATCCGATCCGATCCGATCCG